TGTGGTCAGAAAGGGATTCTTTTTCAGACAGCCGCCAACTCGAAACATTCTGGAGAAGATCTGAGCCAATAACAGTAACATCAATATAACTAGAACCTTGAGCTGCCTGAAACGTAGATCCATGATATTCATTAATAACAAATAGATTGTTTGTAGAAATAAATTCACTCAGTTTATCTCCACGAAAATCTGAATAGGGACTAAACCATGATTCAGATTTGCCATTAGAGTTCATACACCAAACCAGTCGATTAAGATTTTTGGACATAAAGACTTGAGTAATTTTATGAAGATCTAAATCAATGTTTCTTGAGGGTTCAAAATAGTATGAAAAAAGAGTGAGCACAGTTGTGCCAACAGTAATATCCAAGGTGACCATATTGTAATCCGTATTTTTATAATCAAGAAATGTTGATCGAATGATGATTACCGCCTTTACATTGTCAGAATTAGGATCATAATAAAGTCTATAACTGCCAGGGTATCCTGGAAGAAATTTCTTATAATAATGAGGCTCCTGAACCAAAGCACAGGCAATATCATCAGCTTCCATATTTAAAATGAGCTGTTGTGTCACAGATTTAGACTTATGAAGGTTTAACTGCACACACTTTAGAACGCGTCTAGTCAATCTAACCATAATAAATTCGAGACTGAATGTTCTTTCTCATAAAATCATCACTAGGACAGCATTTTGAAAAGGGCTTGTGATTAACATTCACTTTTTTATGGCTGTTATTTGTTTTATGATTGAAGCGGATGCAATTTATACAAGCTACAGCATTCATATTCGAACAATCATATGCTCTGTGTTCTCCAGAGCAGTTAAAACAGGCTGTTCGCTCTCGACATTCATCAGCACGATGGTCCCGAACAAAAGCGATATCAGTGTTAGAATTTTCTATTTTAAAACAAGCTGCTGAGTAGCCATTTTCGAACGATGAAGATTAAGTTGAATAATTTTAAGAACAGAAATGGGAAATGTGAGAAGGACAATTTTTGGAGAAAGGCTTATGCCTGACACCAACTTTCTTGCCAACATACTTGACTTTGCTATTATAACGAATGTAATTTACACAAGCTTGGGTTTCTTGAGTTTGGCAGTGCTCACTTTTATGTTCTTTAGCACATTTGAAGCAAGCAACAGAATTTCTGCAGTTATCTCCTTTGTGAATGCGGTGGTCACTTTATTATTGAGGCCCCTAACAGGTGGACCACCACCATTCCCTCCTATGAAGGGACAGACAATTTACATGCATGGCTTTCTACGGGATTTGAGACTGGGTTTTCGGTACGGCTGTCGGAGTCGCTAACTACTATTCCGCTGAGCGCCTCTGAAAATAATGTTATGTAACATATAAAGAAAAATGTTTGTTTACGTTAAATCATATAAGATATGTAATAAAGGATTTGGAGTTCAATAATCATCGTAGACTATAGTTAAAGATATATGTGCCAGTACATGCTGCGATTATCGTAAAATGAAATCATGAGAAACGAACCGAATAATGCTGGCCTTTAGATTGCATAATCAGTGCACAATATAATAATCTGCTATCTGTACGGAAAAGTGACTCTGACCGTCGAACTGAAGGTGCCAGGCTCGAATCCCAGAGAAGACATGGCTGTAGTTTGTCCGTTCCTTTATAGGAAAAAATGACGGCAATGACGTTAGGTGTCTCCCTAATAAAGAGACCATCTTTTCCTGTCTTAGTAGTGGCCAACGCCTATAAACGGCTACAGCCTGCCATTAGGGTATAGTAAGAGATTGCATAATCATACTCACATGTCATTTTTAGTAAAAATTTAGAAAGAAAGTTCCATTCAGTACAATCCTAATGTAAGTAATAATACTTACATTAGGATTGTTAATTATTAAAATTGGAAATGTCTGTATTAAAGAACTCCAGTTATTAGTCAAATTTATTTCCTTCTTTTATACTTAGTTGTCTCGACATTAGTTAAAAATGTATTCGAACTTTAAAAAAAATTTCTTATGCAGTCAAAGAGTAGATAGTAGATACATAAGCTGGTATGAAATGCAGCGCTATATTTTAAACATAAATTGTAAATGGATAAAACATTTCACTAATCTACGATTTATTTACAAGACATGCCATTGCGTACAAAGGAAAATACATCAGTTTTAATAATGTTTGCAAAACGAGGATGTCATATAAGATTAAAAATAAGGCATTTCTTCAGACGGATTTTGAGACTCCAGTTTTATAAAAATGATGAAATAGATATAAAAATAGGACTTATTACAGATAACTATTAATATACTTGTATAATAGAAATTGCCAATTTATAATCGATATGCTTTCAAGCGTTTTCGTCTTGAAAGAAGATTTTCATTGAGGAAATTTTACAGGAAACTAACTGATATTCCTCTGAAAAGCTTACATGGCTATCCAGTCAGCCATTAAGAATTGTATGAAGTGGGAGGATAATTTCTCTCTAATGAAGAGAAAAACATTGCCGGTTAGTGTGCTTTATCAACTACGAAAACAATATACATAAAAAGGGTAAGAACGTTTTTATCAGTCAGCGTAATAAAATAAGATTAAGTGTCCTGTTGAACAATGATAAGCACTCATAACTGCATCTGCTAGTGACTCCACATATTTAATTGTATTGAAAGTTATCGAACGTTGATAACGTAGAAAAGAAAACACTTGAGAGTGAATGCAAGCCTCCCGCGAAATCTTCTCCATATCATTTTTTAAAGATATAATAATCTATAGAACGATTTAAAGTAAATAGTTCTAGAAGCTAATACTCCCACAAAGAGGAAATTCTGAAGAAATGAAAGCAAAACACGAACAAGAGACTACGTCTAATTTTAATTTTTTCAGTTTTAAATTCATTTATTTATTAAATGTACCATGGAGAGAATTCAATGTAATGCTTTTTTTTTCAGAAGTATACATATAAATGTGTGCACACACATGTATTTAACATTGTTTTCTGGACCTGCAGTGGATCATGCCAAAACTGCTCATCAGCGTTTTTAGACGATTTTATTCTTAAGTGGAGACGTCAAAGACCGTGTGCGATTACAATATGCTCTTAGGGACGCTACGTTTTACCCTCAAATGAAATAATATTTTAAAAGACAGTTTAAATCATAGAGATTCTTGTATGATAAAAAATAGAGCTGCGTTTAATACCTCACCTAGTTGAGTGACATCAACAGCATATTTATTGTTATGTGATAGTTTTGATTTCATAATTCTACCATGATTTATTCATTAAGACAATGCAATATAGAAATTACAAATTCCTATTTTTAATTTTCCAGTTTTAATATTTCGGATTCGTTTTCAATGCTGTTTAAGTTATACTTTTTCCTGGCAATGGTGGAAACCGAAATTATGAATAACACCCGAGGTTTACACAGTGTTAATAACGTATCTAGCACAATTCAAATTTTAAACTCTTTTTTTAAATATTTCTTCAAAAACTAAAATTTCAAGAGTTTTACTTTAAACCTTCTGTTAGAACAAAGTGTTGATCCATTTGTTTGTATTTCATCCCCAAAATATTTTTTTCTTTATTTGTATTTGAAAGAGACAAGACACGCGACAATACATCACGATTCTCAGAAATTGATTTTTCCTTCTAATTTTACTATGTTAGCTAATACAGTTCCATATACGTCTATATTTCTGTAATTAATTTTAAGAGCCTACTCTACAAATGTATACGAAATCATTTGCAACTGTTTATTTAAAGTAGAAAAACATAATTCTCTGGCCGCACACGGCATATATTAATTTATTTTACAAAACCGTTTGTACTTATTTGTCTGATATTAATGCTGTAATAAAGAAATTCAAGTGGATAAAAGTGCGCAGACACACGACGGAGCGTACAGCTCTCAGAAGTCGCTACTGCACAAGGAAAACAATAGCTTAGATTATTTGAGTAAGCCCAAGACGGCTCTCTGCCTTAGAGATGCCTTCGCACAGGACTTTCTAAGAGTAACTGGCTCATATTCGTATAATGCATGGAGAAAATCTAGAAATCCAATCACGCATACAGCCCATTTGCCTAGGCTCAAACCCACAGCGAACTATCAGTACTTAACAATCTTAACCGACCATTGATGGGGCACGAACAGACTAACCTTTGCCTGTTTCACTGGTATATGCAGTGGCGGATTTACGTATCAGCTGAGAAAACTATAGCTTAGGTCCCCCAACCCAAAAAATTATAGCATATTCCATATTAAAAAATTGACTCATATCCTTCATAAAGTGCCCCATATCTGAAATAGGTTAGGATCTCGTCAAATCTAAATCCGATCCCGGCTACATGGTACATTTTGCTGCAAGCGGTAGCAATGTGTGAGAATGTATACTTCATTAGTATGTTATAATAATTTACATAGTTTTCTCACTTTAGGATGCTGTAATGACATTTCATTTATTTTTAGTGAAAAACAAAAACTATTTATTAGACCACACCGAAAACGTAAATGAGTGGAGGATGTTCTCGTCTGATCGAAGAGACACGTTTTGCTGTATTCAAAACAACTGAAAAATTTATGCATTATTTGTGAACAAGAAACGAGTACTTCTAACGAACACACTTTGAAACACTGTTTTAAAAGCAAATTATTAGACTTGCAAACAGAGTTTAAAAATTATTCTTTCGAATAAGAATAGAAATAAATTGTTCTCCTTCAAGACTCACGAAAGTAGAATAATAAAAATGTTTTAATCGCCTAAATTAATGTATTCTAACCTTTTAAATTTTGAAGATTATTTTTTTATAAATATTTATAAATATTTTTGTATTTAATTTAATGGTAATTGTATACGTCAATGAAAATTTCAATGAACATAAGTAAATTACTTGGTCTTGGCGGAAAGAATAATTACAGTTCTCAGTACCTTGAAGATTGATAAATGGAATGGCTTTGATTATTAATTTCAGTGTCACACAGCGAATAAAAAAGTCACTATATTCAATATTCCAAATAGGTTTCTTATTATACCTGCTCCTTCAACATTACCGAGAAATTTATAATCTTAATGCATGGTTTTAAGAATTTTTGTGATAAAAATATTAAAAAATAAGAATAATGGAACCTTCTTTTATATATAAGCACTGCTGAATGTTGTTATTTACGAATGATATCGAATAACAAGAAAAAAGTAAAGCCGTGTGGCTTATTCGGTAAATATTCTAATGCAAAACAATTAAAAATCAATGTTTGTACAATCTTTTCTTTGCTTTGACACAAAAGAATATTTTGAATATTATGCATATTATGCACAAATGTATATTCTTGCGTAATTAGTAACTCTTGCTCTTGTATAAACTTTATTGGATCTTAGTAGATGTTAACATAGTTAAAGTTTTATAAGTATAATGCTGATTCATTAAATATGCAGAAAAAATAATTTCTGTAGAGATGCAATCAATAAGTTGAAATCAGTTGTTTGTCCACTATCATTTGCAACAAACTTCACTGCAAAAAGAAAAGCCAAAGAACGTTGCAGATCGGCAATCAGCAGATGATTGACAGTACAAAAGGTTACTTCAGAATGCTTCACGAAAGTTTTGCGCTTGCGTTTTATCCTTCGTTCTTTCTCTTACCGGCTTTATTCGGAAAGAATATTTTTAATGAAAATCAGAGTTGGTACATACTCTTGTAGTAATGTCTTTTACTGGCTTTTCTTTCCTGATAATGTAATGTCACTCTTCTTAATTTAGTCATATATTTTTCTCATTTAAATTTGTTTCTTTGAGGTTACGTGTGTCGACGACATATTTGTCCGTATCATTGTTTTTCCATTTCTTTGTTTTTATAATACATTTTAGCTAATACTGGTTCCAAAAGCCACAATAGTCCAGATACCACTGAAATGGCTCCAGTCAAGTAGAACACACCGTCATATGAGCCTACGTAATCCCTAAAATGACCTAAAATTAAGAAAATAATTTTGTTAGAAACGTGTTTATTAAAACAATCACCGAGAAGAAATAGAAAATATCACAAAATACCATTATTTATTTTCTGCAATAACAAAGTATTATCATTCAAAAAATTAGAATACTTGAAGTTTGGATTAGTAATTTTCTTATTATCTTAATTATTAAAAAAATTATCATATATTTCACGTAAATGGGAAAGAAAGGGAAATAAATACCTGAGAGTTCCTCAACATAAATAAATAAAATACCTCAGGAAAGTAAAAGCATTTTTTTTCTTCGTACTTACCGATTAAAGAGGGAATGCCGAAAGAAACTAACCCAGACAAAAATCCAACACAGCCCATGCCAATAGACTGCATTTCTTGTTCTACATATTTCAATACCAGCACTGGAAAAAGGACGAGTATAGCTCCCGATGTTATTCCATACAGAGCCAAGAGTGCCATGAAAGTATACAACTCAAAAGCAAAAGGAAAAAGAGCTGTGAATATTCCTTCTAGGAAGAGAGTCAGGGTCATGAAGGCTGGAATTGTCACGTACTTCTTGTCCGTAACCCAACCAAAGCAGAGCCGGCCTAGAGAAAGAAATCATAATTAAGGAGATTTAAAAGGATCTTGAAGTTTAGTAAGTGAGAAATTTAAAGCAACATCGTCTATTCATGGCTACGGGGTTTTAAAATGTAAAGACTTTCTTTCCATTATCATTAAAAACAGACGAAAGATACTAAATTGATCTTTTCTCTCCCATGTTACTAATCAGACTATTGTCTGAGTTCAATTCATTTAGAAAGTTATTTTTGCCATATTAAAGGCATAAATACTTTTGAGGTATCAATACGGGATATATCAACCATTAGCAGAAGAATGAAAAATATATGATGTTCTATCTATTTAATTACTTCGTTGCATTTATTTATTTATGACGAATAGAAAAATTAGTAATTAAACCGAACTGGTATATTTCTGTTTTATTCTTAAAATTACAATATACACTCATTAGAAAAGTTAGTAATTAAACCGAACTGGTATATTTCTGTTTTATTCTTCAAATTACAATATACACTCATATCATATCCACATCTTGATATAAGGAATAAATAAATGAGACTAAGTTGCGATGTCTTCATTAGGAATTTTGGGAAAGAAAATTGCCATGTGAAATTATTAGAGTGGGAATGTGTGACGTTACGGACTGAGTATAATATACAGGAATTGTTAGCTTGGTGAAATATAACTTAGGATATCATTCAAAAATGTTTCAAAATATCCGGAATCTCAGATACAATGGAAAGAATTAGAAATTATTTATCAGTGGGGGTTGGATACATTTTCAACTACGATAGCGAATAGGTTTACAACAACAACAGCAAGATGATGAGTGATCAGAAAATATAATTTGAAAATTAAGCACACCCTGGGGGAAGAAAACGTGACGGATGCCTTATCAAGAAATAGCGTTAGACGGCGAGGGGAAAGAAATTATGTTTGTCAAGAAAGCAACAAAAATTTTGGATCCGTGAAAAACGATAGAAATGGAGTTGTATGTGGACTCAGAAAAAGTCGTCTTATTTAAAAGTCGTCTGACAATTTCGAACATCACTATATGACCGGCATGAGGAACAGACAGTGCACTATTGAAGTTATAGCTAGCCTTCTGTTCTATTCCAAATGTATAAATAAAAGCAACATATCACGCCCGATTACCTCAGTTAATTTAAGATTAAGTATTCTACAGGAATTGTTTGACGCACCACAATTAAGCCATTTGGGAATCAGAAAAATAGTGTAAAGAGTCAGGTTATCAGTTTTGGTAGCCATTTGGGAATCAGAAAAATAGTATAAAGAGCCAAATAATCAGTTTGTTTTGTTCCATTACAACGTTAATTGTTACATTTACCCATCAGTTAAAGTACATTTGTTATATATTTCCATTAACTGAATACGTTATAGGAGCCATTAGGTTAGTTTGGAGCACGAAACGTGAAAAACGAGCAGTGCCCTCGCATGGTCTCGAACTTGGAGAATGAAACGAAATTTCGAAGACGCTCCGAGTGTGCTACCGTTATACCGCGAAGGCATGCAGAAAAGAGGGAGAAAATAAAATCATAATATCAAGTCCTGAAGAATGTGCCAGTTAATTAACGATATTAATTATAGCCTAGACAAATATAGCCCAATAACTGATTTCCAAATAAAACTATTGGAATCGACTTAATAAAATTCCTTTTTATTTATTTAAAATTTTATTTATTTATTTATTTATTTATTTATTTAATTTATTTATTTATTTATTTATTATTTATTTATTTATTTATTGTACTTAAGGTAGAACCTAAAGGAAATGAGTAATGTAAAATGGTGCCACTTCGAAATAACAGAAAATTCGAGATAAAATATGAGATCGCAGACATTTAGAGCATAAAAGATTTTGCCAATTTCTATGTAACAGAGTCACCTTTTAAAGTCTCTATATCTGTATTTTAGAAAATATAAAAGCGCATTAAAAGCAAGGAAATTCTTTTAGATGTATTTCTCATTATTATTAATATTGTGTGTTTGAGTTAGTTTAATTCGCATTCCATTTTTGAGTTATCAAATGTTTCGGTGTACTTGCTGGGTTAAAAACATCAGCGGATATTTTTTCTTCGGTAACTAATGACTGCAGTAACAGAAGTTACTACGGTATGAGTACTGAAATGCAAAGTATTTATAACTTTTCTTCGGTCTATCATTCATGGGAACATATACAATTCAGTATAATTAGGAAAGTTTAAGCTTTCGATATGGGGTAAGGCTTTGTAGCCCAGATACCCGAGTGATACATCACTCTACTGGAGATATACACTTGCTTCAGTCCTCCTGACATTTCTAAAAGCGCTCAAAGAATGCCTGTTTGATATCTTGTACAGACAGGTTGTTGTCTGGTTTCGGATAGCTTGAATTATATTGAAACTTTCATCTTACATTGTAAAGACATTAAGATATTTTTTTTGGAAGCAGGCAAGATGACAAATTAGCAACGCCTTCGTCGGGAATCGAACCGCGGACCTCTGGAATATCAGCCCAGCGTGCAGAACCAGTACACCACAAAGGGACGCTAAAAAAGCGAGAGAAATATCTTATAACATTATTACTAATTGATGAGATAAAGCAGCAAAATAAAAAATAGGTGCATTGTCCATTCTTCCAAATAATTTTAATAAAATGCGTGAATCACATTTGGCATTATTATCAGTTATAGCAAATATGCCAAATTTCAAAACACGTCAATATATAAATTAACGTATACCTTGGGAAATTTTTAATTAAAACCCTAATTTCTTGCAGATATGCTTAGAAATATATCTAATTTAAGATGATGGTAAAAATGTTATAGGTTCTATTTCAAACATTTTTTCGAAAAATTTCGAAAATTACTAAACATTACAAACTGAAAAATAAATCAGAAAACGTCTACCAATTTTATTCGGATTGAACCTAAATTTCGAATTGTGAAACAGGGAATCAAGTAAGTTTAATAAATAAAAGAGATATTAATAAATATATACCAAATTCAATTAACACTGAGGAGCTAAATTTTGAGAGCTAATGTTTTAAAAACTACTTGTTTGGATGCATATTTAATATTTGGATTTCTTTTTTTCTTTTCTCAGTATTTAATTTTATGTTATCATTTATTCAATAATCTTGTTACTGGCAACATGTTTTATTTTACTATTGAGATTTTGTGAACGGCAACAGTTGTTCATGTTTAATTTCGGTAGAATAGCGTTATTAGCTGCACTAAGCTGCAGGCATTTTTCTGTTAAAGAATATTTCATGTTTAGAATATTAATAAAGTTTGTCTACAAGGCTGATTCTTTTTAGTTCAAGGCAACTATTTCGTAAGTTAAAGGTCAATTTTAACATAGGATGCAAACATAAACATTTTCGAAACGTTTTTACTTTCTTACTTTCATAGAGGCAAGAAAGAAGCTGAGGCTCACAAAGAGATATGGGGAGTTTATTGTGTTGATTGCCTAATGGGATGCATCGGCCAGAACGTTGGTCAACTTCAAATAAAAATTCTCCAGAATGAAATTTTTTAAACCATTTCCGACTGGTATATTCCTCGGTGTATAGTGGTGAGTATCCCCGCTTGTCACGCGAGCGACCGGGGTTCGATTCCCCGCTTGACAGCCGCAAATAGGTACCTTGAACTAAGTAGAATCAACTTCGTAGACAAACTTTATTGATATTCTAAACTTGAAATATTCTTTAACAGAAAATTACTGCTGTACAGTGAGCTTAAGGACGCTGTTCTACCGAAATTAAGCATGAACAACTGTTGCCGTGCACAAAAACTCAATAGTAAAATAAAACATGTTGCCAGTAACAAGATTATTGTATAAACGATAACATAAAATTAAATACTGAGAAAATGAGTCAAAAGGAAAACGAAATACAAATATTAAATATAGATCCATACACTGCTGGTGCGAATTTTAGAAAACTTGGCATTCTAGCTTAATTTGAATTATGGAATCGAAATACGGAAAAGAGGAAAAGTCTGAATTAGTGTCAAATACTTATGTTAGAACAAAGCTATATATAAATCTAATACATATACTAAATTGCGCTTTTGAAATGTGAGAAACGCACGTTAAACTTCGTTATTCGGCCAAGTACAAAAAGGGATATTCAGAGCTAGCCTTTTTTTTTTCCTTTCCTAACTTTTTGTTTTTTTTTTCCTTTTTTTTTTGTGTGTGTGTGTCTGTTTGTGCAGAGTGTACCTCGTAGATGTGACATTACTCCGAATTGTTGGAAGAAACTAAATAAAATATTCAAGATTAATTACAGATTCACAAAATCTTGTAAATATTTCAAATACACATTGCAGTTTAATTGTGTCGAATAAAATTGGACTCACTATGTATGTTTGTAAGAGAAACCATGTTTTATTGTTATGCGGGAGAAGAAAGTTATGTGAATAAGGTAGATTTTCTGCGTGGAATTTATAAATGCAAACTTACCAATCAAATCTCCTATGGCCATGGCATTTATAAGGTATTTTCCATTAGTTTCTGGTATGCCTTTGTCCTTGCTGTAATCAACAATGACCGTGAGTATGGGTATTAAAATAATGATGTACGTCAACATGGATAAACTGATCAAAACATATACAGGATTCGTGTAAAGCTTCGCAATACTGATGAAGCTTTCTGCAATGGAGATGCGTTTTGGTGCTGGTATAGGTTCTTGGCTCGGCGTGGCTGAAGAATGCAACTCTGCGAGTTCTACTCTTTCTCTTTCTCTGTCTAAAACATCACCTGATATTGAATATACAGATGAACTGCCTTCTCGTAACACGTATCCATTCTGAAAAGGAATCGGATATAAATTCGAGTTCCTCACGAATATACCTATTGTAACGTAATAGACATTGAACAAAAAATAAGCTATAAATGTAAATGCAATACAACAAAAATCTTCTTAAAACAATAGAACTTGTAATTGTAAGCGTCTTGTTTTGTTATCTTAAAACTAAAACCTAGTTTCGGAGATTTTGTTGTAAATTAAGCAGCAGTTTATTATGCACTGGCCTTTCTGCTTTTAAGCTATGTAAGTACTCCTTCCAAAAACGTCATGAAAAATAGCTAAACTAGGAAAAGATGTGTTGAAGCAACTATTAAAATCTGCTTAACTGAGATTTGTTACGAGAATAGATTTATCCTCGCTTTGAGTTCCGAAAACTTAATGATTAATTATATCAGACTTATTTGAAGGTTGATATTTAAAGAGAGTAATTCTGGTTATTAGCAATAAAATTCTTAATTTTGCTTAATAGTACGCACTAGTAGAAGTCATTCTCCAAATTACTGAAGTCATTCGCCAAATCAACTTTGCGCAGTTTTGAAATAAGGAGAATAGTGAAATCTTATTAAGGGGTTACCACTGCAACCAGGACAATAAACTACCCATTAAATAGAGTTACGTGTTACCTGAGGCTGTAAGACTAGCCCTGTTTTCGATAAAAGTCAACAAAATATATATATATATATCTACATATAAAATTGAAAGCATTTACAGCGTTAGAATTCCCCGATGCATAATGTTGGACGGTTTTTCTTTTTTTCTCAGTTCATCACATCAGTATTACTTTCATAAACGTATTTATCCCGCCTTTAAGCTGGCCTTCGTTGTGGGTCGCTGCACGAGTTCAATTCCCCGGCGTTGCTCATTTTTCATGTCTCCTGCTTCCAAAATAAAAACTTAATACCTCTATATCTTACTAAAATAGCTAATAAACGTTTTTTGCATTTTATTAATAACTTTCTTTGTGTTAACTTTATTTATTAAATGAAATTTTCTTTGCACTTATGCCACAAAAAATTCAATTCAGCAGTAGAATCACAAAATATTTTAAACACCATATCTTTAGAATTTCCGATAAATAGTCTCGCCTCGTTGGCGATAAAATTCTTTTATTCCGTATAGTGTTGCCACTGCTCGCTTTCAAATCTCTGAGATTGTTAATCAAAAATTAATTCAAGTTTCACAAAATATGAAATAAATAATAAAAAAATATATTGACATTCTACGAAAATATTAAATATTTTTAACTAAACAGATCATAAATTAAATGCTTTTTAATTATTAATATTAATACGATTCAAAAGTAAGAAACAAATATTCTAAAGAACTGCGTCTACTGCTTAATAGCTTAGTTTGTAAATTCACAATAGACAGATTCAATTTAAAAGAAAAATGTCCTTCATTTCGCCGAATGGAAACAGACTCGAATGAAAAATGAAAAGACGCATTTATAGTGTCTCTATGAAAAATCCCATTTCGAGACCAATAGCCCTTTCTGGGGTAATAAATAGAACAAAATCATGCATTTTGCTTAATTGTCTGTGATGTTTTCTTGAATTCTATTCAAATAAACATTAAAGACGTATTTTAAAGAATTTACATGTAAAAGCAAAATAACACGTAATATATCATTGCGAATAAAGTTATTTTGAAATTAATATTTAATTATTTCTGGAATAAACATTCATAATTTTAGCTGAGCTGGGTTACAAATACTTCTGATATTTTTATATTGTAACATTTTTATTGATTGAGTTTCTTGGGATATTTTGTAGTCAACAATAATAGTTTATATGCCCGCAACGATCTGGCAATCTTTGCTTAATCTAAGTTAAATATAGTAGATGTGGAATTAGGTATTACCATCCATTTGCAACCATCTGTAGTTATGTTAATTCTTGGCTGTTTTTCTCCAAAACTTTGTAATAGAAACAATTATCCTTAACACCAGGTTTGTCATTAACTTCCGACGTCTGTAAATTTTGAAGCAATTTTTAAATTATTTCCTGGGAAGACTTCGATGCTTTTTCAAGAGCATTTTACCCCCTCTTGTGAATATGATTCGAAAATCGAAGGGTTTAAATTGCAGATTTCTTCAGTAGCTTTAATCAAATGTTTCATCTGTAGCTTTAGAAAATGGCAGTTAACATTCATTCATTCGTTTGATTTTGTATTATACGTTGTTCTTCTGCTTTCATTCGTTTGATTTTTGTATTGTCCCTACAGTTGGCCACAATAAAAACGGTTTTTCTCTTCTCTTTTTGAAATTTTGGTTAATCTTTGGATTTTGGTAACTTGGCGATTTTTGGAGAAAATGTGGCGTCCAACCCTGCTACAGCAACCTGCTAGTTTTTGTTTGGACGCCATTTTGTTTTCACAAAGTAAAGGCTTTTTTTTTTTTTTTTTTTTTTTAACTCAAAATTTTTCCAACAATCTGCTAGCCGGTGTCCGCCGATAACATCGCGGCAAAAACATCGTGGACGAAAACGTCGCGGAGAAAACAACGCAAAGCGAAAACGTCGTGCTACAAAACATGTGTGAGAAAACATCGCAAAAGAGAAAACATCGCAGTTCTAAAACAATCGTGGCACAAAAACATCGTCGTCGAAAATAAAGCTGTTCAAAAAATCGCAGTTTAAAAACATCGTCGTCGAAAATATCGTGGTAAAAATAAAAGTATCTACAAATCATCGCATGACGATAACATCGCAGACATGCTTTTTCAGGTTTTAATAATTGTAAATGGATATTCCCATAATGATTTGTGAGCGCAAGGTGTAAGCAGGATAAATTTTACTTTCACATTTTTTATTAACTAATAAATTTGCTGAAACCGTAAGAAGGAAACTTAAGCATAGAAAATTAAATTTAATTATAGATTATACTTTTCATGACATATTATCAGTAAAAACTTTATAAAATGATTTATTAATGGCCTTTGTTAGTTACTATGTCGGTTAAAATTCTGTTAAGTGCTATAAGTTGCATTAATTTTCTATGCTTAAGTTTCCTTTTTATTTCTCAGCAAAAATTTATTAATTAATAAAAAAATATGAAAGTAAAAATTATCCTTCTTTCCATCTTGCGCTCACAAATCATTATGGGAATATCCATTTACACTTATTAAAGGCATGCCTGAAAAAAGCATGTCTGCGATGTTATCGTCATGCGATGATTGTAGAAGATACTTTATTTTTTACCACGATATTTTCGACGACGATGTTTTTAAACTGCGAAGTTTTTGAACCACTTTATTTTCGACGACGGTGTTTTGTACCACGACGTTTTAGAACTGCGATGTTTTCTCTTTGCGATGTTTTCTCACACGATGTTTTGTAGCACGACGTTTTCGACTTGCGTTGTATTCTCCGCGACGTTTTCGTCCACGATGTTTTTGCCGCGATGTTTTCGGCTGTAACCCTGGTAGCCGACACTGGTGTGCAAAAATTAAGGACAAAGTCGAAAAATTAGCATATCAGCTAAACGAAGAGGTAGAGCGGACAGAAAGACGAATCAGGAGATTAAGTAAGGTGATGTACGGTAGCACATGCGCAGATATGCAGGTAGACGTAATGGGGGAGTGTCTGAGTAGTATAAAGCATGTTGTCGGTGTAAGATCAGTATTTCTGGCAAAGAGATTGCACGCCGTATAGCAGTACACCGAGTTGCTGCCTCAGAGAGAAATGGCGAATAATCAATCTGTTAGACGACATCTGAATGCTTTTAGCCGAGGTCGAATCATTGGGAAGTTGGAGGAAGGCCGCAGTGTGACAAGTGTGGCTGCAGAGTTCGTAATTGCTCACAGCATCGTTTCACGACTTTGGAGACGATTTCAAACTACAGGAACAGCTATCCGGGGGGGGGTTTGTAGTAGTGGTCGTCCACGAGGAACCACACCCGCAGATGACCGGTATATTGCCTTACAGGCCAGAGAAAAAGGCGGCAGACAGGGGAGAGCGAATCGGAGAGAAATCGCTAGACACACGACACAGGCGACTGGACGACCGATATCGCGTTTTACCGTGGCCAGAAGACTGCACGGTGGTGGTCTGTTTGCACGACGCCCTGTACGGTGTGTACCTATAACGCCTGCCCATTGGAGAAGGCGTTCTCTGTGGTGCCGGGAACACCGGAATTGGAGAGACAATGAATGGGGACGAGTACTCTTTACAGATGAGAGGAGATTCAGTCTAAATAGCGATTCTCATCGGCTCGTTTGGGGAGGCATCATGCTTGGTAGTGGTACAGACATTCACATCTTCGACGCAGGTTCAGTCAACGGGACCCGTTATTGTAACGAGATTCTTCTTCCATATGTGCGTCTTTTTAGAGGCGCTATGGGTCCGCAGTTCCTTTTCATGGACGACAATGCACAATGTCATCGCACAGTAGCTGCCGAACAGCTCTTAGATAGTGAGGATATTGAACGTATGGAATGGCCGACACGATCTTCGGATCTCAATCCCATCGAGCATGTATGGGATTTTCTAGGCAGACGCTTCGCAGCTCGTGCCCTACCACCAGTAACGATTCTGAAGCTTCGATTGGCGCTGCAAGATGAATGGGCAACAATGCCTCAGCAACTCACTGACACCCTCATTCTCAGCATGGGCAGACGCTATGAAACCTGCCTAGCAGTCAGGGGAGATCATATCCCCTATTTAAGACCGGATGTTTCTTGCTGGACACCCATCACAGGGATGTTTAGGCCTTCAGTCGCATTGCGCTCCATGCTACTTTTTCAATAAAGCTTCTTTTTATCCCTCAGATTTCTCTTTTAGTAAGTGTTGCTTACATTACTCATGTCCTTACGTATTGGCGATCTTACGGTATTAAATGTGTTGATTTGGAAAGGTTTTGTGCAAAGTTATATTGAAAAAACCGTCTCGTCCTTAATTTTTGCACACCAGTGGAATTACGCTTATGCTAGAACTTTTATGGAACAAAATGCTTAATCATAACGAAGATTAGGTGCGAAATTGGGAGAAAGTGCAGAATTGCAAACTGATTACCGCGTTTTTAAGAATTGCGAATACACGGTATCCATGTACACGTTGATCTATTTTCACTTAAAAAAATCCTAGAATTGCACAAAAATGGCATTGCGCACACTCTTGACTTTATCCATGTACACTGCTAAAGTGCTAGGTAACCTTTATCGCCTTAGCAAAATGTCGCCAAACTACCTGTTACCATATTCCAAAGATTAGCCGAAATTTTTTTATCCCGTTCTTTGATTACTAGTGGCTTCTAATCAAAGTGCGCAAAATATCAATGCTTTAAAGTTAGCTCTATATGTAATGTGTACGCATTACAGATTAATATTTTCAAAGCAATTTTATGTCAAAATTTGTCCTATGGCAAAAGGTTAAAATTTATTGGTGCCAGTCATTTTTCATCTAGCATCACATTATTCTATCTTTTGTTCCAAAGAACGCTTAGAAGCGATAAGATAACATTTGTTCTAGGAGAATTTGAAAAAAAAAACTTTGTTTTATTTAAGGTATAAATATTTAAAGGTCTTACACTTTTCACAACGTCGTTTTTCACTCTTTCTCGGAAAGCACTACCTACCGATGCCGACTATCCCCAAACCGTGTTCAAAACAACCAGTGTTTTTCTTGAAATCATTTAATCTAAGCTTTACTTCAAAAAACGTTCTGGCTTCCAAATTTCTTTTCTATTTCAATTTATTTAAGAGGATTTTTTTTTTTTTTTCCATTTTCTTTAAGAGGATGTTCTGACGTAGGCAGATATTTAGTTGTGACATCGTTGAGAACGTCTAAAAATACAGATTTTTATATCCTTAATGCCGCGTCATCCATATTCGGGTGACGGCAAAAATTCTGATCAGACCGCGCCATCCCTATTAGGGTGACAGCTCTTGGAGTATTAACGAGGTAAAATTTGAAAAATGATTGTTGACAGCTGAAACAAAGAAACTGTTTTTTGCCGACAGCTAAATTCATTCCGTTCATTACACTGAATTGTGCTTTCGTTGTCTATCAACTTCTCTTTCTTCTTAACAACCAATTCTAATCAAATATGATCAGTAGCATCTACGTCGCTTATACCATCACTGCATTTATCAGCATTCGAATGAGAATCTGAAGATATTATTTTGTTTATAATTATGTTTTCTTAAGAAACCAACTGTTCTTCATCGCTTCGAATTTTTGAAAGCCTCGCAGCTGGTTTCTTCTTCGCAGCTATTTGTTTCACTTAAAATTAAGCTTTCATTTTTCTAGGCCTTGAAAAAATTGGGGAAACAATTTTAACACAAAAAGTTCAACAATTTGTCACTGCAGAAAAAATATTTGGAAAAAAAGAAATAGCTTTCGAATCTCACACTCTTTCTTAGGTACTTAGTTCTTGAGGAACGATTCTAAACTGAATGTCTGTCCCTAAATGTTTCGTACTAGATGTTCTAAAGTCCTACTACCGGAAGCAATTGGCGCATAAGTGTAGCAGCACTCGTGGCCTAAAGGAAATTTTCTTACACACTCGGCGTGACAGTCAACAAAACCTAGACTTTTGAAGCTTCGTTATTTCCTTCTACCACCTATCGCCCGTAAATAATCTTTGCTCTTCTCTTTTGAAAGAGGAATCTTATTCAAAGATACTCTTAGGATAATACGCATTTTGGCAAATGTTGCTTTGGGCAATTCGCATTTCTTGTGTTCTGTAGTTAATTTAGTTTTTCACCAAACATTCACTAATTTTACCACAAGTTCCGTACTCCATAACAACTATGAAGAAAATTTGCTCTAGACTTGCGGGATTATTTTTTGAGAAACTAAACTAAAAAAAAAAACAAAAAGTGTTTATTGGTTAAAGCCCTCTGTGCCCACACTTTTAGGCCTAGATTAATGATAACCTACTTGGACACTAAACGATAAGGTGGAAAGTGCTTGGAAAATACGTATATTAAAAATTACCTACGGATATGTAAATTTTAATCTCTTCTTGATAATGGTGTATACACCTGAAAGTTTGAAAATCACCAAACAGTAGGAGTTCACGTCTCCAGAGGAGCTATAACAATGTACATTACATGGGAGCAAACTGGTCGGGACAAAAATAATCTGTCCTAAACAAGCAGAGTGTCGTACTATTTGAATAATTTGCTGTTTAAAGAGATTTAATTGTAATTTGCAACCTCACAGATTTCTGAATGATTTAGCTACTCAATAAACAACCGCACTATTGAAAGTTTTAGAACTTTTTAAATTTAAATAATGTTTTTCAACATAGCTTTATTTAGCAATTCCAATACTTTTTAATATATCTTTCAAAAAAATTTATTAGAAAAGTGCGATTACCGAAAATCCCAAAATACATGAATATAAATCATAAAATACAATGAACAAAACAGTTCTGACCTGTGTAAAGAGCCTATCATCCATATCCGATGACTCTGTAATTTTGTACAGTTTACAGATGACACCATCTTCCGATCTCCTCCTTACAAAATTTTCCATTTGACATAGCAGTCCACTGGGCGTTTCCTTCTGAAAATTGCACCTGTATGCGCTGCATACTTCAACTTCTTCTACAAGGCAATTGCTAAGAGACGTTGATCTTACAAGTCTGATTTCGCACTTTTTTATACATTCATCTTCCTTCTCCTTTTCCGTTGAGATTACGGTATTATCTATTTCTGTGGAAATTACTGTATTCTCCCTTTCTGTTGAACCTATGGTGTCCATTGTTCCAACTGATTTTGTGGAATTCACCAATTCCCCTACATTAAAAAATATGAAGTTACCAGAAGAAAAGTCCGATTTATTTAATTATTTCGTAATCTGCAAATGAATTTCTAAATTTATTACACTGTTTAAAAAGTTAAAGAACTTATTTTTTTTTCAACCGATCAAAATTAAAATGACAAATCTTAAAGAGCAGAATGATTTCTATAGTGTATCTCAACTTTTGTTCAATTAAAATATTGCGGATTTAAAAGTGGATAAGTAACACATATCTATCTACATTGAGAATGTACAGAAAATATTGAAACTCGTATAAATCACTACAATGTGTTATTAGATAATTTAATCTCCCCGAATTACTCATTATATGCCATATTTCTTTCTAATAACTTCCTCTTTTATTCCTGATAAACGTGAGATTGAAAAATAGCAAAAAATTGTTCTAGATTATCTCGATTGGAACCAAACATCAAGTAACTTTCATAGCAAATAAAACCAACTTTAAAGATGCGAAAAATGTTAAATATTCTGTAAACATACCAGGAAACAAAAAACATAAGCAACAAAACTAAATGAAATTTTGTGTATTTGATTTTAAGCAAGTGATACCTTTCGTGGTGGATCAAATGATTAAGCACAGACAAATTAGAAATTTTCATCACTCAATTTATTACAAACTAGGCAAACTAGGAACATAATTTCCTATTAGACTTCTTATTCCTAGCAACATAATTAGTTTAAGATCTAGGAACTAGGAACATAATTAGTTTAATTTTATTTATTATTATTAATTGTACGGAGAAACTTTACGACAGATTTGAAATCTATTGAGTTTACATTGCTTTGTAAAGTGAAATTCTACTAAGAGTGCTTATTTTGAAAATATTCTAAAACTCTAGATGACCACAATTATGAATTCAAGAATGTTCCAAAAGCGTCTGATTTCTGTGAAGTAATCCAAAAGTTTCAGAACATAATATGAAACGTATAGAATTTAAAAGAATGCATATAAAAGACTATATAGTGTGATAAGGTCGCATAAATCTACGACGAATGATTTCAAATTGCAAATTCAGAGTGCAATATACATGATGAAATCACGGGCAAAAATATAATTATTTAATTGTTATTAAAATAATATTAAGTTGTAAAAAATAGTTGTTATTAAAATAATTTTAAATTGCTGGCGATGGCTCGAGAGCCACGTATGTCTCTCGCACAATTATTGTATAAAATTTGATTTTTGAAAAAGATAGGTTTCTCTCTTCAGAATTGTATGCAGCCATTTCTTTAGCAATCAATAAATTTTTTTATGCTGTGTTTTGTTTTCAACCTGATGTCACAACCCAGGGTTTGCATAGCGGTTTCGGCCACTACACAAAAGCAGTAAATATTAAAAGTTGGTGGCAGCTTTTAGGATTGTTCCTGAGAGTAAATTTAGGAACGGACTTTTTCGCCTGTGAACTTGAGTTTTATGTGAACAGTCAAGACTTTCTTCTCTTCAAGTACGATCTAATTTTGCGTGCAAGTACAGTTCGCGTGGTGAAGCCTCTTTAGTGACAAGTGACAGTGTGTCAGAAGGGAACGCCGGAGGAAGCGTGATCTAGTGCCGCAAAATAGTGAAATTGGTGCTACTTTGGTAGACGGTTGCACGGATTTTTGGCGATTTACGTTGGCGCAATTGTTGGCGCGATTTCTACAAACGTCAGCCATCTTGAAAAACGCTGTTTTTATGCATAGTAAAGTATTCGAAACTTAAAAAAAAATAAATATCGTTTGAAATAATGGATTAATTTTTTTTGTTGAAAATGTCGTTTTTTAAGATGGCAGGCAAGTGTAAATAAATACATTTTACTATGAGTATAAAATACTAAAGTAAGGTTATTATTACTTTTATATAGCAAAAAGAGATAAAAACACCGCTATAAAATCATTGTGCCAACGTTTAATTAGATTAAAAATTACTGAAATTGAATATCGAAATAAAAAACGTCATCCAACATTTAAAAGAATTAGAATATTATTAAATTTAAATACTTTAAAATACGTTATATAGAATATAATATATATATATATATATATATATATATATATATATATATATATATATTATATAGATAAATACATTTACTACGAGTAGAAAATACTATAGAAAGGTTAAATTATTACTTTCATATAGCATAGAAATAGAATAAAAATACCACTATAAAAACATTGCGTCAACGTTTAATTGGATTAAAATATTACGTAAATTGAATATCGAATTAAAAACCATCATACCAACGTTTAAAAGAATTAAAATATTACTTAAATTAAATACTTTAAAGTAAGTAAATAAGAACGCTTCGTACACTAGAGCTAAAATGACAGCAATTAGTTTATTGTCGGTAAAAAAGGAGGAATGTCTAATAATTTTCTTACCGTTACAGCGGTTATTTCTTCCAACATGACCACAATATCATATACGGCCGTCTCAGAATCGGCTCTTCTAACGGTCTTCATCTGTGATTTACATTTTCGCACTTCATTGAAGAAACAATTAGCGACGTTTCCTCCAAAACTTTAAAATAAATTTCCTCTGACCCTTGTAAGAATTTATAAATAAATCTTTGATTAGGAAAGCCAGGCTGGCGAAAATAAGGTCTCAAAGGACAATTTTTTGATTCCAAAACCAAAAATTCTTGGTACTTATCAAAAATAACATTCATCTTTGAAGGAGACATTTTTGATGGAATTCGAAGATATGAATTAAATTTTAAAATGGCGCGGTAATGCACAAATTTTCAGCAACCTATCAGGGAGCTGATTACAGCTCATTAATGCACAAATATTCTATAACCAATCAGAGAGCTCATTACATCACGCCTAGAATTAAAATTATTTAAATAATCATACATAATAAAATCATTTTAAAAAAGAAATGCAAAATTAAATTGTATTTTAATATTAACAGCCATAAATAATGTTTTTAAAACATCATATTAAATTTATAGATATTAAAACCAATTACTTTTAAAGTAAGGTGACGTCACTGATTACATCATCCACAGAATAAAATTTCATAAAATATGATAAAGAATAAAATTTTTATTTCAAATAAAAATGCAAAATTAAATTGATTTTTAATATTTAGAAGCCATAAATAATATTTAAAACACGGAATTTATGCATAATAACACGCAATATTTTTTAAATAAAATGTCAACAAGTATCGGTTACCATAAATAACTTATCCAGCAATGGGTTTACCATAAGTCGTATTACTCGCCAAAAGAAAAATTGCCAAAAACTCGCCAAAATCCGTGCAACCGTCTACCAAAGTAGCACCGTGAAATTTCCCGGAAGAATATTCAAGTGGTGCCAGGAGAGTCAATCGAAGGTGTCTTCAAAATTGGTGAGTACCATTTTTGTGATTTTGGAGAAGTTATGGCAGTTATTCGGTTATTCGAGACTAGGCTTATTTTAGATATAGAGCAGGAAAAGGTTGCCTCTTATATAGCATTTTTTTATATACGCTTTGTTTGTAGGCATAGGTATTATCATTAAGTGTTGTAAGGCAATTTGTGTTCAGATTTGTTAGGGAATTATTCAGTTTTGGAGAGATTAACCTGTTGTTGTTTTTGTGTTACTGTAATTCGGGGTAGATTATTTTTCTTTAATTTTCCATAATGAGTGAGTTTATGAGGAAATTTACTAAAGCTCTGCTATTGGAGTTAGCGGAGGAGTTTGAAACAAATGTGTCTCAGGCAAATAGAGTAAGAGAAATTAGGCAGGCTATTCTAAATGCCGAGGACTATGAAGAAGAAGCTGCGAAAGAATACGCGGCAAGAATTTGGGCTGCGGCTGAGCAGAGAAAAGCAGAAGAAATAGCCGAACAAGAGAGAGCAGAACGAGAACGTGAACAAGAGAGAGCAGACAGGAACGTGAACAGAGAGAGCAAACGGGAACGTGAACAAGAGAGAGCAGAAGAGAACAGAGAGAGAACGTAAACAAGAGAGAGCGGAACGAGCGGGAGCGAGTTTTTGAATTGGAAAAGGTTAAAACTGATGAATGTGGTTCAGACTAATAGCCTAGCTTCCATGGTTTCGAAAGTTGAACAATCTAGAGAAAAAAAGGTTAATTTGAAAGATCTAGTACCGCGTTTTGAACCGAGTAATATAGATATTTCATTATTCTTTATGCTATTTGAGAAACAAGCTCAAAAAGAGAACGTTAATGAGATTGATTGGGTCTCGCAATTAATTCCTTTATTACCTTACGATGTAGCCCAGTTAATAGTGAAAGAACCAGCGGATAAAGGGGATGATTATCAGCATGTTAAGAAATTACTCATGCAGAGATTCAAGCTTAGTTCTTGGGCACTAAAAACAAAATTTGAAGAACATTCTAGAAAAAACGGAATGTTATGGGTGGATTTAGTGTATGAATTGAGAGTGTATTTAGAGAATTGGTTGGATTCAGTAGAAGTTCAAGATTTTGAAAGTCTTAAGGAACTTATGCTCACTGAGCAAATTAAGCGGCGAGTCCCTCTAGAAATAAGAGAGCACTACTTAGACAATTTTGAAGAATTTAAAACAGCTTCCATTTCTAGCAGAGAAATGCGACTTGCGAAGAGATATGAGGAAGTTAGAACAGAGAGTGAGGTTAAAGAAACCATTTGAGAAAGATAGAGAGAGGTATATAAATTCTAACTGTAGTTATAATCACAAAAGTAGTGGTCATCAAAGAATTAAATCAGAGGAGCATAGAAAAGTGGAAGCTCCTAAAAAAAGCAAGTTTTCAATGAAGCAAGTTTCAAGAAACAGCGGAAATAAGGTGTTACCAATGTGGAAAGGACGGACATATCCGACCTAACTGTCCATCGCTGGAAAAGAATAAGGCTAATCTGGTGAATAATCTAGGAACGGAGGGTGAAACAGCCTTTGGACACAGAATGTAAATGTTTACCTTTGGCGAAAGTCACCATTGAAGGTGATTTTGGTGTGGTCACCACAAAGGCAGCGGTTACTCCGGTAGAGTTAGATAAAGAGTACTA